TGGCTTTTGGGGCCAAATCTGGCCATAGGTTCCAAAGGAGGGATTTCCCTCTGTCTCCTAGGGCTGCCGGTCCGGTCCTTCCCTTCATGTCAGAGAAGCTGTGCCTGGAGGCACTCTCTCAACTCTCTTGAGTGTTGCGATGTGCAGTTCGTTTTCCTTTCCTTACTTTCCTCCTAATGAAGTAGTTTTGATCTCTAAAGCAATCTGCCCTGACAGCTTTTCATTAGCTCTCGAGCAAACGTGGCATATAGAAGTGAGAGCCCTATGTTTGGCAACCGCAGGCAGGCCCGTGGCCACCTGCGGCTTTATTCCGGTTTTCCAGCAGGTGGCAGTAAAGGCCCATCGCCGCTTCGGCAGCCTTCAGCGGTTGGTTCAAGCTGAGTTTATTGATTGGCGTCTTCCTTGCTGATAAATTCTGGTGAGTCCTCAGCGACAGTGGAAATCTAAACCAATACAGGATGTTACGGAGGTGGAACTCAAGGCTTTGTGTATGCCGAGCAAGCCCTCTACCAACTGAGCTACGGTCCCAGTCCCGTAAAGCAGTCTTTATAATTCCTACTTTATAGAAAGAGAAACTGAGGTTTGGGTAGTTAAACAGCTGGCTAAAGATTACAAACATAGGGCAGAACTCATGTCTGATTCTGAATTTGGGGGTTGTGTGCTTATTTCTCTAAAGTGGGAAACATTTAGATTTGGTTTGGTTGTTCTTTTGAGACAGGGTCTCAGTAGTCTGGGCTGGCACTGAGCTTGCCTTTAGCTTATGATGATCTTAGCTCTTTACCCCTTTGGTTAGTCTCCTCAGTTCATCAGTTACCTTTGAGCACCTGCCCTGTACTGCAGACTCAGGAGAGCCACACTCCTGCCTCAAAAGGACTCAGGGTGGTGACACATACAGTGGAGCCACAGAAGAACTGTAGGAGTGACCCCAGGGTACATAGGGACTAGGTGGAGGGCGTGAGGTCAAGGAGACCCCTTCAAAGACGGAGACGGCCTCTAAGCCAAGTCCTTGAGGATTTAGTCAGGCAAGTGATGGTTGGGGGGCATCATCCAGGCCACGGAAGCTATGTGTGTAAAGTCCCCTAAGTGTGAGAGGGCTTGTGAATTGGAGAGGTCTGGGGTACACGGTGAGGGGTGAAGCCAAGAAGCAGGGGATCCGGAAGTTCTGCTGACAGCTTGAAGGACTTTAGCAGGAATGTGACATGGGTGGGCTTTTACTTTTGGAAGATTCTTCTAGTTCCTGCTGGAGAGTAGTGGCGGGGGCGGGGGGAGAGCTAAGGCTGGGGACCATAGAGTCCAGTTAGAGAGACATGACCTCAATGAAGACATCAACTCTAGCGGAAGGAGGGGCGAAGGCTGGAACTGTTTTAGAAAGTAGTAACGGCAGGAGTGGGGACAGGCTGCCTGAGTGAGGAGATGAGGCTGAGGTACCAGTGAATGATCCTATCGTTTGGAAAAGCCCTCTCACAGCCCCCATCTCAGGAACGTGGCTCCACAGGAGTGCTTGCGGAGAATGGTGGCTTCTCAGGGCTGGGCAGCCCTGACCCTGGAGCCTGTGGAGGTCCTGTCTCTGGACCAACCACTGCCTTTCTCTCCCTCATGTTCTCCTGGATGCTCATGGATGGTGTCTTTCTTGCACACAGTAGCTGGAACACTCTGGGCTCCTCCCTCACATTCCCTTCTCTTGGCAACTTTATGTTTTCCACAAAGCCGGAGGGGTGTTGGGGAAAACTAAGCACATTCTTGGACACAGGGACAGAGTCCAGGGTTCTAGTGCTAAAGTTTACTCTCAGAACCATAGTTTTTGGCTTCTCCCATTCTTTGCCTGGGCTGGCCCAAACAAATTACCAAAAGGCTAGTTAGTTTTATTACTATTTTTTTTTAATTTATTTTTTTTCTTCACAGTTTATTCATTATATATCCGGATTGAAGACCCTCCCTCAACTCCCCGAGTCCCACACTCCCCTCCTCTTCCCCCCATCCCTTTCTCCTAGTCCACCGAAAGGGGGAGTTCTCCACTATTGCCGTCTGCACGTAGTTTGTTAAGTCTCATGAGGATTGCTTGGATCCTCTTCCTCCGTGGTCCGGCTAGTTAGTTTTAAGACACTCAGTTCCAGAAGGCACAGTAGGGAATTGAGACCAGAAGTGCTGTGTTCCCTTCTGAAGCTTCTGAGGAGAGTCTGGGCCCTGTGGACTCAGGCTTCTGAAGGCTGCTAGCACTCCTGCTGGCAGCTGCTCATTACTCATGCCTGGGACTTGTGATCATGGGGCTTTCCTGTCTGTGCGTGGCTTTGCTTATAAGGATGCTTGCCGTTAGCCCAGCGCCGTGCCGCATGCCTGTAATCCCAGCCCTCAGGGGGGAAGAGGCAGGTGGATCTCTGAGTTCCAGTCCAGGACAGCCAAGGCTACATAGAGAAACCCTGTCTCGAAAACGAACAAACAAACAAAAAAGGATGCTTGCCGTTAGATTTAGGGTCCACTAGAGTAGTCCAGGATGCTCCCAAAATCTTTAGTTACACATGAAAGAACCCCTTTTCAAAATAAAGTCACACTTACGGGTTCCAGGGTTTAGGCAGTAGATGTAATTTTAAAGGATCCAGACCACTACATCCTCTGCACATGGCAAGGCAGGGAGGTGCCACTGTGATGACATCACTGAGTCCTACCAGCCAGTTGACAATCGTCTGGACTTGGAGTTACAGAGTCCACTAACATCCTCCCGATGGCTTTAAGCCAGTCTGACACAGTCCCCTCATCCGTCACTGCTGGGTGTGTCTTGACTGACGCCCTGTGCCCATCTGGAGTCGTGCACACAGGCAGGTTCCACGGAAGGATGACGACAACTGGGATTCTCAGTCGGTTTCTACTGATGACACTGTGCAGCCATGGGCAAATCATAGCTTGGCTGACCGTCATCTTGACTATAAAAATGGGCTCTTGTCCTTGCAAAGGGTTTTTCAGAGTGGAAGCCAGTGTGGAGTCTTTTGTTATGGCCTCTGCATTCCAAGAAAGATGTAATAGAACTGGAGGAGGGCCAGATACCAGAGTGATGAAGGGCTCTTACCATAGAGACGGCCTCCTCCATGAGAATCCTCCAGCCTGGAATCCTGGGGGCTGAGGACTGCAGGCGATTAAAGATCTCTGTACGATTAGGGATGTTGACAAGGCCACAGGGCAGAGCAGACTTGCTCACGCCATCTCAGAATCCTTATAAGTTCAGAGAACTACTTCTGAAAGTCTGAGAAGTTGTTCAAGGGCATAGGAGAGAAAGCACAAATTTAGAGGGTGGAGAGACAGGCTTTGAGGCCCATGGGCAGTTTGATGTGGTCCAGCCAGAACCAGAGAGGCGTGGTTGCTGCTTCCACCTCTGGATGTTTGACCATCTCCTCTCCTCTTGGAGCCTGAGATCATGCACCAGTCAACTGGGGGACAGTAAATCTGCTACAAACCCCAGATACACTTCAGAAGACTAAACACTGTTCTCCCTACTTCCCAGAACAGGCACGGGGAGACGCGGCTTCCTGCTTGTCCCTGGAGACTGACTTCCTCGCCACTGTTCAAGGGCTGCTGTGCCATCCTTGCTTCCCTTGCTTCGTTCCCTCTCTACTACATTATTCTTAGCTGTCTGACAATGCTATAGGGCCAGTGAGATGGCACATCAGATAAAAGCACATGCCCTGGCCCACATAGACGAGGGAGAAAATAATAATAATAATAATAATAATAATAATAATATAATTATAACAAATTATTATAAATTATTATTATAAATAAATTATAAATATTTATTATAAATTATTATTATTATTATTATTATTATTATTATTATTATTATTATTATTGTCTTTCAAGATAGGGTTTCTCTGTGAAGTCCTGGATGCCCTTAAACTTGGAGATCTGCCTGCTTCTGCCTCCAGGGAAATGAGATCAAAGACGTGTGCCACCACTGCCCGGCTTGAGGACCATTTTCTTACAAGCTGTCCTCTGACCTCTACATTTGTGCCATAGTGCATAAATAACTGATTCCCTTAATTCTGTGCTTCCCTGTTATTACTTCCACTTGCCCAGCAAAGGCAAAACTCCTTAAGAATTGTCTGTACCCAGGAGGCTGGAGAGATGATGGCTCAGCGGTTAAGAGTGCTTACTGCTCTTTCAGAGGTCCCTTGTTCAGTTCCCAGATCCCACACTGGGCAGCTTGCAGCCACCTGTCACTCTAGCTCCAGGGGATCTGACACCCTCCTCCGGCTCCCACAGGCATCTCCGCTCACGTGGTGTTTATACAGGGAGACACACACACATCGACAAAAAACTAAAAATCTTTAAAAGAGAAGAATTACCTGTGCTTGGCTCATACTCCCAGCATCCGGGAGGCTGAGGCAGGTGGAATGCTGCGAGTTCAAATCTAGCCTGGGATACTCTTCCTGAAAACACAACAAAGCAAGAATGGCCTGCTGATTTTTGTCTTTCCTTCTCAGTGAATCTTCATAAAGTGAACCTGTCCACATCACAGCCACCCAGATCTTATAAAAGAATATGGCCAGCATCCCCAGGATCTTGCACCCCTCCCTTCGCCCCAGGTAACTATGGTTCAGATTTGTTATGCCATAGATTCGTTTAGCCTTTTTGTAAAATACGTGTAACAAAAATCATTTACCACCTCACCCGTTTTAACACGTAGAATTCAGTGGCTCCTGCTACACTCGCAGTGTTGGGCAAACCGTCGCCGCTCTGAACCAGAGCATGTTGGCCTCACTTGAGAAGGAAAAGCCCATCCACGCAGTCACTCTCCAGGCCCTGTTCACCTCAGCCTATAGCAGCCACGAGTCTGTGTTGTCTACTCAATGCTTCACAGAAATGGAATCACACTGAATGTGGGGTCTTTTGTGTCTGGCTTCTCTCTTTCAGCTTAGTGTTGTCAAGGTCCTTCCCTGTTGTAGAATGTCTCAGCGCTCCGTTCCTTGGTATGGCTGAATAGTGGTCCATTATGCGGTGTACCATGATTTCCCGTCCGTTCCTGGACACTTGAGCCCTTTCTACCTTTGGCTATTGTGAACAGCGCTGCTGTGAGTATCCCCCACACATTTATTTTTGAGATTATAACATAATTACATCATTTCTCCCTTTCCATCCTCCCTCCAAACCTTCCCATATGCCCTCCCTTGCACTTTTTTTTTTTTTTTAAATTTATGGCCTCTTTTTTCCACTGCTATGAATCTAGTACATTTTGCTTGTTTGTTTTTTTTTTTTTTTGAGATAGAGTCTCTCTATGTATTCCAGACTGGCCTTGAATTTTGAATTCGGAATCCTCCTGCTTTAGCCTTAGGTATGAGGATTATAGACATGAGTCACCACAACAACTTAATATACTATACAAGGTCCTGCTGTATGTGTGTGTAATAGTTTTATATGAGTTTGAACTTTAAATGGGTTATGCAGTTTATATTCCTTTTTAACTGGTTTTTGTTTATTAGTACTATCATGACTACTGTTAGCATTATTTTGGTTTTTTGAGATAGGGTTTCTCTGTGTAGCCCTGTCTGTTCTGGAACTCACTCTGTGGACTGGGCTGCCCCCAAACTCAAAGATCTGCCTGTCTCTGCCTCCCTAGTGCTGGGATTGAAGGCGTACCACCACCGTTTGACTGGTTTGTTTGTTTGTTAATTTATTTGTGACAGGGTTTTTCTATGTAGCTCTGGCTGTCTTGAAACTCACTTTGTGTAGAGCAGGCTAGACTCAAACTCAGAGATCTACCTACCTCTGCCTCCCATGTGGTGGGACTGAAGGCATTCACCACCATGCCTGGCTGGCAGTCTTAATTTGTGTGTGTGTGTGTGTGATGTTGAGGATTGAACCTAGGGTCACTGTGCGTGATAGGCAAGCATTCTACCACCGAGTCCCCAGCCTACGGCTTTATCAGGAATAGTGATTTAGTTATGTGGTTGGCACGTAGCAGGGGTTGGCTTGCTTTCGTTGCTGGGTTGTGTGTCACCGTGTGACTGTATTATCTAATCTGTTGGTTGGTTATTTCTAGTTTGGGGCTGATAGGCTAATTTGGTGACATCCCTAGTTCATGTCTTTTGGTGAACACACGTACAGTTTGCTGTGGGGCAAAAGCCCAGGAATGGAGTCGTGGGTCTCAGATGACGCACATTTACCTCTAGTTTTTATGTCAAAGGGTTTTCCTAAAGCTTGCACCACCTGCACTCCCAAAGGGAGTTGTGTGAAATTCTCATTTGCTCCACGTCTTTGCCAGGACACAATATTTCAGGCTAGTTTTGAGCTTAGCTTCTCTGTACAGCCGAGTCCCAGCCTCATTCCCCACCTCAGGCTGCTCCTGTCAGTGGCCGGTGCTCTGTCCCACCCCACTGACCAGCCCTAGCAGTTGGAAGCTTGTACACCCACCTGCGCACACCTCCTTGGCTGGATTTGCAGGACCTCATGTTTGCAGGCCGTCTTTCATCCGTGCAGGCTGCTATGCACCACGCCCTAGTTCTTCCCTCTGACCTCTGACCTCAGACTGCTGGATGTGCTCTCTGCTCTGTTCACACTCACTTTGATGATCTCATCTGGCGTGGGGCTTCACCCACTAGCTCTACGTGACTCTGTCCCAAACTTGGATGTGTAGCTGAAATGTTCCCCTGGATTCCGTACATCTAACCGTGAACTTGACGCATCCCTTTGACTTACAGACTCACCGAGTTCAAAACTTCTGTGCCCCTGCTCTAAGCCTGTTCTCCATTTCAGTCAAGGGCAACTCTTCCCTACCAGCTTCTCAGGCTAAAAGCTTTGGCATCATGGTGGCTTCTCGTATTCAGCCAACACCAGCAATAAATTCGCTGTGTATGCCAACATACCCCAAACATGACCTCATTGTCTCAACTTCCTGCCTTCCTGGAGCCTCCATCATTTTTCACCTGGCTCTCTGGATTAGCACTCTCTCTGGCCTTTCTGTTTCCATTCATATATTCTGAGAGCAGAAGCCAAGGTGATTTTTTTTTTTTTCATTTATAAGACAGATCATCTTATTCCTCCACTGAAACACTTCCATTCTAGACTGTGGCAGTTTGAATGAAAAATGCCCCCTAGACTTGGGCATTTGAATACTTGGTCCTTAGTTGCTGGTGCTGTTTGGGGAGGTTTGGGTCATGTAGCAGTTGCTGGAAGAAGTGCATCATTGGGGCAGGCTTTGAGAGTAAAAAGCTTTACCCGTTTCCAGTTTGTGTTCTCTGCTTCTCGCTCATGGTTCAAGATATGAGCTCTCAGACTCAGGTTCCTGCCACGCCATGCCTCCCCTCTGCCACCACGGACTCTTAACCTTCTGGAACTATAGGCCCAAAATATATTCTTTCTTCTACAAATTGTCTTTGTCATGGTGTTTTATTATGAAGAAAGTAGCTAATACATGTAGACAAAGTCCAGGGTTTTATAAGCACGCACTGGGCCTTTTATAAGCACACCTGGCCTTCCGTTACTTGTGTATGACTCGATTGCCTATTTCTCCTTGGCTTTCTCCTGCTACATCCAGAGGCCTTCTTGTGTTTCTGGTATTAGCCAGCATGGCCCTGTGTTAGGACCTTTGAGGTGGCTTTTCTGCTACCTGCAATACTCTGTGTGTGTGTGTGTGTGTGTGTGTGTGTGTGTGTGTGTGTGTGGTGGGGGGTGTTCATGTGTGTACTAGAGCTCTACTATAGGGCCTCATGAATGCTAGGCAAGTGCTCTACCGTTGTACCACTGAACTACATTCCCAGCCTTAGATACTCTTTTTAAAAAGGTATGTATATGTATGTGTGTACTTGGGTGTGTGTGTGTGTGTGTGTGTGTGCGTGTGTGGGTGTTCATGTGTGTATGTGTGTCCACAGAGGCCAGAGGTCAGCCTCTGCCATTGCTCCTTGGGAGCACTGGCCTCATTTAGCCACAGATATTCTTGGAGTTAACTCCTCTCTGAAAGCCTTCCTCAAGTGGCTTGAGGGGTTTGGCCTATTTATGTATGAAATTAAACATAATGGATAGCTTGTGGTGTGTGTAAGGGCGAAAACATTTTTCTTTCCTTCATTTTCAAAGCTGGACATGGGCCACTTCCCTTGTTCTTTTGGTTGAGGGCAGATATTTTTTTCTAGCTTACCGCTGAGAACACAGCCCAGCTATAGAAGAGAGTTCTCCACCATGGCCAGGCTGGGGCCTGTCTACTTCCACACACTCCCTGAGGCCTCCAGCTGCACAGCTCAAGGTCACTTCAGTTGGCATATTGCCTTAGAAACAAGCTGGCTTTCACATCTTTGTCCTTCTTGTGTGACCTCTTTTAGTTCTTCTGCCTTCTCCTTTGGGGTCTGCAAACGGTTATCGCCATCTCACCCCGTGTTTCAGTAAAGTAGGTCATGGCGTCCAAACGTCACTCTGTTGCCTGTCTCTGTAGGAAGGCAACGTGCTACAGGGAAAGGACCAGGGCCCAGGACACTTTGTCCCAGTCCCAGTCCTGCCTTCAGCGAGCCTCACTTTGACACAGTGCCCCGAGCTCCCGAACCTTAACCTATTGCTTGGTGGGAAATTGAGGGCCAAGGGAGTAAGGGAAACCTCAAAGATTTGGTGATTTCAGGCTCAGGTTTCTTCCTGTCACTTCTGTAAGAGAAGTTATGATTTGTTGAGGCAAAAATTTCAGCTCAGGTGACCTTTCTGTATTCTCTCAGGGAGCTGCCTTCTGCCATGCCATGGGTCTGGTTCAGAGGACATGGCAGATGTTGAATGTCAAAGGTAAGAAATTTAAAATAAGGGCTGAAGAGATGGTTCAGTGGTTAAGAACAGTAGTTCTTCTGGAGGACCCAGAGTCAATTCCAGCACCCACACTGGCTAAAAAAGAAAACCTAGGAAAGTCTAAGAAACTGCTACAGAACTTCCATATGCTCGTACCCAGTGGGTTTCTCTTGTGCTGGCTAACATAAACTAGAGTCATTTGGAAGGAGGGAACCTCAATTAAGAGAATGCTTCCATAAGATCTGGCTGTAGGGCATTCTCCCCACCTCCCAGCAACCCCCAGACACTGTTTCTCTTGTAATTCTGTCTCTCCTGGAACTCACCCTGTAGATCAGGCAGGCCTTGAACTCAGAGATACATCTGCTTCTGCCTCCTGAGCGCTGGGATTAAAAGCATGCACCACCGCTACCCAGCTGCATGTTCAATTTTTGTGAGGAGTTTGGACCCAGGTGTGGGAATTTGTCTGCCGTGTTAGGAAAAGTGGATCTGCTGCGCATGTGAGCATGTGTGTTCCTGACGGTGATTAACTGTTCCCTAGAGGCATGGGTCCATAGTTAATCTCACCAACAGTGTAAGATACTTCCCAGCGATCCTTGTCCGTAGAGCCCCCAGTCTGTGTCCCTCTGGCTGTAGTTAGGCCTTCCTTGTTTTCTGGCCTAAGGACCTCTTGTTTGGTCCCCCTGAGGTTGACCTGGACATGCTTCTGAGAGTTTTGAGTCCTTGCTTGTATTGTTTGCTCTGGGTCCTGGTACCAAGCTCCAGTCTTGGCTCTGGATTCTGGGGCCCAATTTACTGTGTGGTTTTGAGGCAATCCAAGAGGTTAGATAGCACTTTCTCATGCCAGCCCGGGGCACTTTCTCATGCCAGCACAGGGGGTGTGGAAATTTTCCTCCACAGGGGAGATGGTGTGCTGCCTCCCTCCCACCTTGAGGATCCTGAGGAGAGCTCTAACAGTTTTCTTAAAACATCTTGGCAGGTTAGACTGTTACCATCAGCACTGGCAAGAGGACACGACATCTGTGCTGGCCTGAGGCCAGGCCACATGAACGGCTGTGCACAGCTCCACCTCATCCAGCCTGGGGCCTCAGATACAGAATGATGACGGAGCCAGTCCAACCAGCTCAGGACAGCCTGGGAACCCGCCTCCTCACGTGTTCTCTCTGTAAGACCCCCCCCTTTTAGGTGGTAGCTGCACCAGGGGTGGCGCCCTGTGTTTCAAGCTCAAAGTTTCTGGGTTTTTCTTACCATGCTGATCACGGCAAGGTTATGGCTACCAACACAGACCGACTTGGCTTAGCCTATCCACTTTGCCAATGTCCAAGTTTGGTATATCTACTACCAGTGACTCAGCCGCCCTTAGCTGCTTCTGCCTTATTTGACGAGAGGGGACACGATTTAAATTGGCAGGGTTATTACTTGAGAGCATGCATATGAAGTGCTAGCGTTCTCCCTGGCATATACAAGACACAGAATTGCTTTGGGTAGTTGGGGAGATGCAGTAGAGAGAACTGGGCTTCAGTCCTGACGCTGCCGCCTTGCAGTGTGCCACTCAAACCTCGCCGAGCCCCGCTTCCCCCTACCTGCAAAATGGTCATAAGGGTTCATTTAGTTCATTCCATTAAAATATAGAATATAAAATACAGAGCATAAAATGGCTGCCAGTAGATACTAACGACTTACATGCAAAGGCTTTATTTTCTCTAGAAGGAAACAGAAGACTCCTTCTCCATGGAATAGTCCTGACTTCCAATTTTCAAAGACTTATGAATAAACTATCATTTTTATTAACTTTTTAGTTAATTTTTTAACTTTTGTGTGTGTGTGTGTCTGTGAATGCTTGGTGCCACCGCAGTCCAGAAGGTGCCAAATCCACTGGGACTGGGGTTACGGATGGTTGCTAGTCACCATATGGATTCGGGGAACTGAACCCAGGAGCTCTGGAAGAGCAGCCAGTGCTCTTAACCTCTGAGCCAGCTCTCCAGCCCCTGTTCTTATTTTAAAAGATTTATTACTATTATTAGGTTTATTTATTATTTATATATAATAAGCATGATTATATTATAATACATTTATATGTTCTTAATTAATACAGTATAATAAGTGATACAAATAAGATTTATTATTATTATTATTATTATTATTATTATTATTATTATTGACAGGCTCTTACCATGTGACTTTGGTTGGCTTAGAACTTGCTATGGAGGCCAGGCTGGCCCCAAACTCACAGAGATTAGCCTGCCCCTAGCTCTCCTGTGCTGGGGATGAAGGCACGTACCACACCTGGTTTTACTTTTATTTTTCAGTGTGTGTGTGTTTGTGTGTTGTGTGGGTTTGTTCAGATGAGTGCAGGTGACTGTGGGGGCCAGAGGCTGGAGTTGCAGATGGTTGTAGCCACTCAAGGTGGGGGCTGGGAACAGAACTTGGATGTTCTGCAAGAGCAACAAATGCTTTTGACCAGTGAGCCATCACTCCAGTCTCAAACCTATCTTTGTTGTTTTGTTCTTTTTTGTTTTGTTTTGTTGAGACAGGGTTTCTCCGTCTTGGACTTGATTTGTAGACCAGACTGGCCTCAAACTCAGAGAGATCCGCCTGCCTCTGTCTCCCAAGTGCTGGCCTCAAAGGTATGTGCCGCCATGCCTGGCTCTCAGATGTATCATTTTTAAACCAACACATTCTAATGCCCTTTGGAACAGAGAAAAAGAGAAAACTCTCTCATTATGCCACCACTTGAACAGGAGCCTGGCCAGCCCCGAGGGTTCTCTCTTCCTGGGCCTTCAATGTGCGTTTTCTTAGGTGGTCATGATTACAGGATCCCTGCGGTTGCGTGCTCTCTCTCTCTTCCTCAGCATGGTGCCATAAGCATTCGCCCATGTTGCTACATGCTATTTGTAATCATTACTTCTGCACAGCCGCATTCCATTCTTAAGTAAGAACTTTGTGCATATTTCTCCGATATTTCACACTGTCCCCGCCCTCTGAGGTTCCACGAAGTCAGAAAGGTGCAAATACCTTTTATAACTTCAGCTTCAGGCAGGCAAATTGCTTGCTAAAAGGCGGTCTCGGTTGACGGGGGAGTCTTGTTTCAGCTGGGGCTGGGCTGGCTGCTAGAGCTGCAGATTTCTCTGGGCTGATTTCTGAGCCAAGTCTCATCCTCATCTGAGGCAGTTGCTGAGGCGGAAAAGCAAAGCGGTATTAGGTAACCCCTGCAGACTGGGATCACAGGAAGTCACAGAGCCAAAAAGACCGTGAGGCTTGATATTGGCTGTGCACTTCCCTCTTCCAACTGTCTGCATTCGGACTATAGAGACGGACGTTATGACTTATTGATAACAACAACAGCAATTATTATTGCTGGGGACGGAATACAGGACTATGAGCCATACCTCTGAGCTATTCCCAAAACCCTTTGTTTATTTATTTATCTTTATTTTATGTGCATTGATGTTTAGCCTGCATGTATGTCTGTGTAAAGGAGTCAGATCGTGGAGTTACAGACAGTTGTGAGCTGCCATGTGGGTGCTGGGAATTGAACCCAGGTCATCTGGAAGAGCAGTCAGTGCCCTTAACTGCTAAGCCATCTCTCTAGCCTCTGCCTCTAACTCTTATAGTTTAGTTTATTATAATTTTGATATTTTGAATCTGGGGCCTTATGCCTATTAAACAGTTACTTTTGACCCATATCCTTACCCTACTCCCAGCTTCTTCACATAATTTTTAAAAGTTTAATTTTTGAGACAGTCTTGCTATCTAGTTTTGGCTAGCATGGTGTCTTCGTTCAAAAGAACTGTCAACTTGACACAGTCTAGAATCACCTGAAAAAGTCTCAATTGAGTAATTGTCTTTCTCAAGGAGGAGGCAGAGGCAGGCAGATCTCTGTGAGTTCAAGGCCAGCCTGGTACAAAGTGAGTCCAGGACAGAGAAACCCTGTCTCAAAAAAGAACACAGAGAAACCCTGTCTCAAAAAAGCCAATAAAAGAAAAACAAACCAACAAACAGAGTAATTGTTTTTATCGGGTGGGTCTGCGGGCAGGTCTGTGTGTTGTCGTGATTGTTCACTGATATAGAAGGCCCAGCCCACTGTGGGTGGCACCATTTCCAGGGCAGGTAGTTCTGGGCTGTATGAGGAAGTCTGGCTAAGTTTACCCGGGAGCTTTCCATCAGGCAGTACTCTCCCACGGCTTCCGCTCAGAGTCCTTTCTTGGGTTCCTGCTTTGACCTCCCTCAGTAGCGGACTAGGGCCTGGAAGAATAAACCAAATGAGTCCTTTCTTCCCTTGATTTGCTTTTGGTCACAGTGTTTCATCACAGCAACGGAGAGGAAGCTAGAATGTCTGGTACATGCCATGGAGCGTAGGCTATCCTCAATGCTAATTCTCCTGCCTCAGGTCCCTGGGGGCTAGGATGGCATGCCTGCACACACTATACCTGCCTGAAGGTTTTTGTTTGTTTGTTTGTTTCCTGAGACAGGGCCTCACATAGCCAAGGCTGGTCTTGAACTTTTCATCCCCCTGTATCCACCCCTCAAGTATGTATCACTACACTCAACTAAGTGTTTAATTAAAAAAGACAAAAACAAAATAGGCACATACGTCTTCCACATTTTTAAATTTTGTGTGCATGGATGTTTTGTCTGCGTGTTGGTCTGTGCTTCGGAAAAGGGCATCAGATCCCCTGGAACTGGACAGAGAGCTGTGAACTGCCATGTGGGTGCTGGGAACCGAGCGCAGGTCCTTTGCAAGAGCACAAGTGATCTTAACTGCTGAGCCATCTCTCCAGCACCTCCCGGCCCCGTTTTAATATAAACATCTTTTCCTTTCATGTAATTATGACACTACAATATAAGTGCTACGGTTTGGGTCTGAAAGGTCCTCGTGTGGGAAAGGCTTAGATACCAGTGCAGTCAGGTTCGGAGGCAAGGCTCTGGGGATGTGATTGGTTCTGAGGGATTAAGCCGCTGAGGCATTCATGGCTGAATGGACCCCTGAGAGTGAGGTGGTGGGAGCTGCAGGAGGTTCAGTCTAGTGGAGGAGGGTACACCCTTGAAAGTGTGTTTGTTTGTTTGTTTGTTTGTTTGTTTTTTGAGACAGAGTCTCACTTTGAAGTATGCAGCCCTGGCTGGCCTGCAGATCCCTAGGTAGAGCAGGTTGGCCTTGAACTCACAAAGATCTGACTGCCTCTGCCTCCAAGTGCTGGAGATCAAAATGCTTCGCGTGTAGGTTGAAGGTGTATCTGGTCTCTCTTTTCTCTCTTGTCCCCTTGCTTTCTGGCTGCCCGAGAGAAGAGGCTTTGCTCTGACGGGCTCCCCGCTGTAATGTTCTGCCTCAGTACCGGTCCACAGTGATGGACTGCTTAAAGCGACCATGACAGGAAATGTCCAGAACTATGAACCCTAAGGATCTTCTCCTTTAGGTTGATTCTCTTAAGTAGTTTGTTACAGTGACAAAAAGCTAATGCAATAAATGGTTTAGAATTTATCTTTTTTCACTTACCACTATTCTATAGATAATTATGCAGTCATAAGCATATACCTAAAACCTATTTGTAGTGTTTTAAACATTTTTAATTTTTTAAGCAAGGTCTTACTATGTAGCCCTGGCTGGCTCGGAGCTAGCTATGTAGACCAGGTCAGATTTAAACCCACAGAGATGTACTTGCCTATACCTTCCCAGTTTAAGGGTGTGTGCCACCATGCCAAGCTCATTTTTGAAAAATTTCACATTTGCTTATTTTTTTCAGGGTATCGTATGGAGGTTAGAGGACAATGGTGAAAAGTGACTCTTTCCTTTTACCAAGTGGGTCCTAAGAATCGAACTTAAGTTGCCAAGTTTGGAAGCAAGTGCCTTTAACCACTGAACCATCTCTCCAGCCAATATGATGTCTTAATTACTAAAAAAGTTCTATGAAAAGCATTTACCACAATGCACTTGGCCATCTTGTTATGCTTTTAATACAGCTTCACTATAATCAATAATACCAAAGTAAAGATATTTTTGCATAAATCTTCAGTGTTTTTTGTTTGTTTGCTTATTCTCGGCTGTCAGGATTTTGGATAAAAGAATAACAGTTTTCTTCCTTCCTTTTTTTTTTTTTTTGACAGGGTCTCATTCTGTTCCTCAGGCTGGCCTTGAACTTGCAGTCTTTCTGCCTCAGCTTTCTGGGTTCGAGGATTGCAGATGTACACTATCAAGCTATCAAGCTCAGGGTTATTTTTCTTTTGTTTTTCTCGTTTGAAAGATGCAATGTGAAATTGCTCATACTGGTTAAAAATCCCTCCAACAATGTGTCCAGTTCCCTTTCTGTTGCCAAGAGTGGCTCACTGTATTTTTAAAAAGTCTCTCAGGATACTGCATCTGTAGATTTATTTTGCGTTCTAATCCAGTGTTAACCTAACCTTTAAAGCTAAGAGATGTTTCCCATTTGCTGTGCAAGCTAGCTAAATCCGTCCTGTCAAACTGAGGCCTGGCTTTATTCAGGGAGGACTCGAGGGCTCTGCTTTGGAGATGTTCTTTTCTCTGCATAAGCTCATGGCCAAGTTCGCATGACTCAGGATAGAAGAAAAACGTTGTCATCCTTCCAAGGGCTCTCTTCTGGATTAGGGCTTGGGGCAGATTCTCTGGGGCTGGAGAGGGCTAGGGCAGCAGAAGTGCTGGGATCCACTCATTGGGAGGTTGAAGTCACGGGAGTAAGGCTTGTGAGCTGGACTTCATCATGACAAGTGTTACCTGGAAGAGCAGACACGCACGTTTGCTCAGCATTTCTGCTTGTGGAAATGGGGCCTTCTCTCTTCCTTGGCAGTGACCTAGCCAGGGTCTTTAGACTCCTCTTTTCTATTGGCCAGAATGACTGGTTCTTGAGTAGACGGCTGACCCAAGAATGAGCCTTTCAGTCCTCTGTGGGTTTTGACATGTTGGCATCACATGTGAAACTTGGTTAACTGGGATGCTTAGACTTAAGTCCATGGTTCTCTCATCCCTTCGCGCGGGAAAAGCTGCCGGAGGAAATCTGGGAACATTGCACTAAAAAAGGGCACAGAGACACAAGGTGGGGTAGGGGCACAGAGAGGGACAGTATTCAGGACAGCCGTCTCAGCAGCGGTCTGAAGCAGATGTCCTCTTTTTTCAGTTACAATGGAAAGACTCGAGTGTACCTGGAGGGATCGGGTACTTACGTGTGAGAAGTGAGCACAGAGAGGTGTGGAAACGGGGAGCTAGGGTTGCTGTTCAGAGAAAACACAATGGCTTCGAGCATCTACACTTGAGGTGACAGGACGGAGCAGAAGAACTGGCGGCCGGGGGTGTGAGAAGGGAGGGAGGAAGCACACACCCAGAGGAGAAATGTGTATACTGTGTGTATACTGGCACAAGGGCTCTCCAGCCAGGTCGGTGGCTGGACTGGTGAAGATGCAGCGGGCACAAGGGGAACTGGAACGGAAGGCAAGGCAAGAACTGGTAGGGCAGGGGGGCTGCCTGGCTTGCTGTCAGTCTGTTCAGGCTGGGCAGGGCGCCTGGGACCACAGAATGGTTTCCCACAGGTCTGGAGGCCCGGAGTGCCGGCGCAGCAGCGGTGGCTCAGCGTGGCACTGAGCTGTGTCCTCGCCTGGCTTCTCCACAGCCGGAGTAAGGTCTCTGCTGGGTCGTCTCCTCTCTCTCCTTTTTCGTTTTCTTTTCCATTTTCAGGCGTGTGCATGTTTGCGCTTTTGTGGGCACGCACGTGTCCATGTCGGTGTATGAGGAAGTCTGAGGCTGATGGAGGGAGGACCCTTGATTGTGCCTCCATTCTATTCATCCAGGCAGGATGTCCCAGTCAACCCCAGAGCCAGGAGCCAGGCGGTGGTGGTGCACGCCTTTAACCCCAGCACTCGGGAGGCAGAGGCAGGTGGGTCTCTGTGAGTTCTAGACCAGCCTGGTCTATAAATCAGGACAGTCAGGGCTACACAGTCTCAAACAAAACAGAACAAAGCAACAACAAACCCAGAGCTGGCCAATATGGCTACTTTTGCTAACCAGCTTGATCTGGGGGTCCCGTCTCTGCCTTCTGAGGCAGGGATTTCAGGAGGGCCACTGTATGTCACCACCCACCAGTATTTACACGGGTTCTGGGAATCGGAGCTCCAGTCCTCATGCTTGGACTCTAGGCACTTTAGCCACAAAACCATCTCTCTTGACCTCCCTCTCCTCTTCTGGGACCCAGACCCATGAGAGACCCCTTGACATCATTTAGCTTCCATCACCCCCTTCAATGTTCTCTCTTTACATGCAGTCACATTGGGAGGCAGAGCTTTGGATATGAGTTAGTGGGGCCTGTACACAGTTAGACCATAACGTAACACAAGGAGAAGTAAATTTGGGCTGTAGCATGATTAATTTGGGGGAGGGGGATTTTTTCTTAAGTCTTAAGATATTTGTGGTCACAGGCACATGCGATTTAAAAAACTCTTCTTTTTCACTTATCTTTTAGGCATTTCCATATACTGCTAAAGTTTTTTCTTTTTTTTTTTAATTTCTGCAGTTTTGGTAACTGTTATTTGTAAGGATTACAGTGTGTTCCTGGTACTATTCTGGTATCATTGCTAGCCTTTAAATATGTTATTATTATGATTGTGAATGTGTGCGAATGCAGGCATGTGCATACTGTATTTTGTGTGGAGGTCAGAGGGCAGCTTTCAGGGGCCCCATTGAACTCAGGTTGTCAGGCTTGTGTGGAAAGCACCTTTACCTGCTGAGCCACTAGCCTTAATTTTAACTAGTGTCTCTCTAGTCTTTGTCTTAATTATCTTCCCTTGGCTAGCCAGCCAGCAGCAATCCTAACCCTCCGTCCTTGTCACTGCTTTCTCTTTCTCAGACTGACGGTGGTCAACCTTAAAACCATAACATTGCCTGTCAGGGGCTTCCTGGCTGGTCTGCCAGTCTTCATGGACCCTGGACATCCACCACGGAGGAAACAGTGCAACTAAAGACTGTTTTTCAGGACTCTCCTTCATCCCTGACACGCACTGGATGATGGTGACCTTGCTCCTTGGCCAGGCATCAGAGGTTCTCAGAATCCAATTATTTCTTTTCTTTATTTAGAAAAAACACTATTATTTTTGGTTATTAAACATAGAAGTTAAGACCTTATGTTTTAGTGTTATATACAGTCTAGGGCTTTACCCAGGGAACTGATGTCTTCCGGTCTCTGGGGACAACCCACATGCATACAAATGAATGGAAACATAAAGAGTTTGTTGTTATTTTTGAGATAGGGTCTCTCTACACAGCCTGGGCTGGCCTGGAACTCACTCTGTAGACCAGGCTGGCCTCTGCCTCTTGAGTGCTGGGATTATGCCACTTAAGCTGGATATGTCCCACTTCTCTCTTTCACACTTTGTGTCTTTTTGGACCTTCGAGAGTCAGCGAGGTCCCTCACTGTCGGGACATGCCATGTCTGTCTCACTATTTTTTTGTAGATGTCCTTTATGGATTGGAGTTTCTTCTGGGTTGCATTATTCAAATGTATCTATGTGTATATATTTGATCTTCCCTCTAGATAACCACCCCCCTAAGTAACTCAGTACATCCCTTACCATCAAACCTGGGCTCCTATTATATAAAATCAGGAAATGAACGGCATCTAATCCGTATGACTATTGTAGATCTGTAACTATTGTATATGGCAACGTGTAAAAGTTGCCTCAGTGGCCCTGAACATAAACACTTTGGAGAGCTCAGTTACAGCATTGATGGCAATCGAGGACAGGGCCCTGGAAACATTTGTCGGATTAATTGCAGACTTAGTTCATGGCAGACATTAGGGACAATAGCTTTTCTATCTCCTCTTGGTCTCTAAGCGTTGTTTTCTAGAACCTCCTGCAAAGCTTGCTCCACTGCCAGTCTACTTAAAGCCGCAAGAGACCTCAGAGAGTTAAGTTCCCCTGCAGCCCAGCACCTCTTTCTTAGAACCATTTCTTAGGGTTTGAATGAAGTTTCTAAGTAGAGCAGCCTGATTCACCTGCTCCCTCTCAGAGATGGTGGGACCAGGCAGGGGCCCCTGCCCATAGCCAGACACCCTACTTCCTCTTGTCACTCTTGCCACTGGCTTCTGAGGAGCCCACATGCTATCTGTGTAAATATTTACAACACAGGGCTCAGCCTACCTAAGCGTCACACGTGACAGGTGCCGTCCCCGTACCTGAACAGATGCACCCTCCTAATGACAAGGATGGAAGTGTGTAAAACTGCGTGATTCACTTCACTGAAATAGGATATGTCGAGATAGGAAATGAGTACGAATTAACCACGTTTAGGTTTGACTATAATTGAAACACAGGGGCCAGCAGAATGGCTCAGTAGGTAAAAGTGCAGGTGCTTGCCGCCAAGACTGATGATCTGGGTTGGATCTCTGGGATCCACGTGATAGAGAAAACCTAATACTGCAAGCCATCCACTGATGGACACTGACACACACACATACATGAAATAAACACTGAACACATAAAAATTATTTTTTTGAACTTTTAAAAAATTACTTTAGAATATAGAAGAAAAGCATATTAAAATGATTGTGTATCTGTGGAATTTTTTATTTATTTAGGTCTTATTTTTTTTTCTTTTATTTTTGAGCCAGGTGGTGGTGGCACATGTCTTTAATCCCAACATTCAGGATGCAGAGGCAGGAGGATCTCTGTGAGTGGGAGGCCAGCCTGCTCTACAGAGTGAGTTCCATGACAGAACTACACAAAGAAACCCTGTCTTGAAAAACAGACAAAATTGCTGGGCAGTGGTAGTTCATGTCTTTAATCCCAGCACTTGGGAGGCATGCAGATGTATCTCTGTGAGTTCAAGGCCAGCCTGGTCTACAGAGTGAGTGCCAGAAAAATAAATAAATAAACAAATAAATAAAAGAAAATTGCTGTGAAATTATACTTTTTCATAAAGTACTTCTATAGTTTATTCACTTCAGTTTGTATTTTGGTATGTTGGTGGCTTAAATGAGAATGCCCCTAATAGGCCCAGATGTTTGACCACTTGGTCCTTAGTTGGTGGTGGTATTTGGGGAGGTTTAGGAGGCGTGGCCTTGGTGGAGAAGTATGTCACTTGGGGAGAGGGTTTGAGAGTTGAAACCTTGTGTTATTTCCAGTTCACTCTCTCTGGTTTCTGATTGCATTTGAAGGTGTGAGCTCTCCATTTCCTGCTCCTGCCCCCATCATCCCTGCCAGGATAGATTCTCAACTCTCTGGAACCAAAATAAACTTCCTTCTGGAAGCTGCTGTTGGTCCTGGTGCTTTATCCCAGCAGCAGGGAAAGTGACTGATACAGATGGTTATCTTTTTAAAAATTATTAAAACTGGGTGGCACAGTGCGTACTTTTCATCCCAGAATTCAGAAACCAGGGATGGGCAGATCAGGACCACAGAGTTATATGGTAAGACCTTGATCACAAAGAAAAAATAGTATTCTTAATTTGTTGCTGATTGTACAAATTCAGTGACTTTGTTATTTTATTTTATTTTTTTGTATCCAGTCACTTGCTAAACTGTTATTAAAACCAATAATTTCTCCTGATCTCTGGTGACTATTGCATATGTGGAAAATGAATATCTTCATTTTTCTGGTCCCTGTACCTTTATTCCTCTCATCAGCACAATGCTGAATGGAAAAGCCACAAGAGGCATTCAGTCCACCACTAAGACAAACGTGTGGCTGCGGATGGACCTTTGGAGGCTAAGGAGATTGCATTTCAGTGGACAAAGGGTTCATTTTGAATCTATCTTGAATGAATAGTAAGATTTATTTAAACTTTACTAAGATATAATAATTTAGCTGGGCATGGTGACACATGACTGTAATCCCAGCACTCAGAGAGGAAGAGGCAGGTGGATCTCTGAGAGTTTGAGGCCAGCCTGGTCTACAAAGTGAGTTTAGGACAGCTGGGGCTACACAGAGAAACCCTATCTTGAAAAACCAAAACCAAAATATAAAAATAAAAAAGATATATATATATATTTAAATCTGGCAATGTGGCAAATATATTAGTTAATATCTAACAGAAATAATCTTGTCTTCTTGACATGAATACAATTTGGTCAGGTGTTTTTTGTTTTTTGTTTTCCTTTTTCAGAGACTGAGTCTCACTATGTAGCCATGGCTGTCCCAGAACTCACTCTGTAGACCAAGCTGGGCTCGAACTCAGATTCTCCTGCCTCTGCCTCCCAAGTGCTGGGATCAAAGGTTTGTGCCACTACACCTGGCTTCCTTCTTTCCTTCTTTCCTTCCTTTACTTCTTTCTTCCTTAAAATATGGGATTGTTGGTATGTGTGCCTGTGTGTGTGTGTACATGTGAGTACAGGTGCCTGCAGAGGCCAGAGGTGTGTGATCCTGTGGAGCTGGAGTAACAGGTGGTTGTGAGCCACCTGATCCGGGTGTGGGGGAACTGAACTCAGGTCCTCTGGGAGAGCAGTGCATGCTCGTAACTGCCGAGCCTTCTCCCCAAAGCTAGGTTTCTTTCATATGATACTTTTTATTTTTGAGATAGAGTCTCTCTGTGTGGCCCTAGCTGTCCTGGAACTTGCTGGCCTTGAACTTACAGAGAGCCACTTGTGTCTGCCTCCTGATTAAAGGCATATACTACCATGCTTGGCTATCATGCTGATTAAAAAAGATGTATTTTTGAAACTATGCCTATGTGTGTACAGGTGCCCGGGATGGCCAACCGTAGCAGATCCGCTTAGAGCTGGAGGAAGAGGCAGTTGTGAGCCGATGTGGGGGGCAGGAGCTGAACTCTGGTCCTCTAGTGGGTATTCTTTACCGCTGAGTCATCTGTCCAACCCTGCAATGCTAAGTTTTTTTTTCAAGACAGGTTT